TCATCAGATAGTTGTAAATCTATCAAACATGGATAAATTATTAGTGCATAAAGACACATAAAAACATCTCCCATATATTTTACAAGTCAATTCAACTTTCCAAATATCAACAGTGAGCAATAGATATGAATATCTCGTTAAATAGGGGGCTGGCTCACATTGACCATTCCGGTGGCTTGAGTTGGACCCGAGTACTTGGCTTGGTAAGGAACCGATTCCGAATAACCAGGCCAGGTCTGAGTGGACTCGGGCGAGTTTGCAATCATTGGTAGGTGCTCAAAGCATCCAAGTGCTTTAATACATTTAGAAAACAGAACCTAAAAACTGCTTGAGTAGACAGAATTCCAAATATTAAAAGAGACAAAACATCCCATAAAACAGCAATGCTAAAGGGGTGATTTTGGCACACTATTTTTCTTTTCAGAAATGAGCAATGATGCCATTAAGAAAAGAACATGATAAAATAACATATACAATATAATATAAAGGTCATCTACAAAAATAAAGCAGAAAGTCTTGGGTAAGATGGGGCTGCACTTGCCATTTTCTTGCTTAGGATAGAGATTGAAGCTTCTTGCTAGATGATTTCGTTTTCTTTGTATGGGTGATCTTCACATAATCTTTTCAAAAACACAAGCCAAAAATATTTTTTAAGAAAGAAGCTCAGACTTTCTTGATGGCAACTTCTCATTTCTCAGCAAAAAGGGTCCTCCAAGGCCTTCTCAATGGCGAATTGAGCACTTCTCAGCAAAAAGGGTCCTCAGCTTTAAGGCATGCTGCATTAATAAAAATAAATATAAAAAACCGATATCCATTGGGATGTTCAAGACTTAATATAGCTATATTTCTTTCTTGAAAAAAGTTTTTATAAGGTTGCAACCTTAAAATGTAGAATTAAATATGCGCCTCTAAAATCCATAAGAAAAGGTTGTTTTAATGTTGAAAAACCCTCTAATTGATAGTCTCAACGTCGAGATGTATGAATATGAAAAAAAAAAAACCGATTTTGAGTCCTAGAAATAGTGCATCTTGCACAAATTATCTGGACCGACTATTTTCAAGATTTTCATATGTTTATAGATCTACTTGATTTTAACCATTTTTGAAGTTCAAAATTTTATAATTAGATATGAAAATAGATTTTC